GCCTTGCTTGCTCAAGTGCATGCAGAACATCCTCATGGGGAAGATGAGACTTGTCACCAATCAATCTGCCAATCAAATGCTCCTGGGAGGGTACCTGATTGAGTGTCCCCCCACCCCTGACTACTTCGCCCCCACTCAGCAGGAAGCAGCTCCAGAAGAAGCGACCTTTGCCATAATCCTGACCTGGTGTCCCCCCCCCCCATTCAATTATAAAACCAAAAGTTGGGAATATTAGTGAAATTAACTCCTTTCCCATAGCTTAGCATGCTCCTTCTCCTCTCCACAGTGTAGCATGCTCCCTTCCTAGGCAACACTAAGCCCATTTAGTAAAGGTAGTAAATAATCAACCTCCAACACACTCTACCTTGGGATGGCACTCCTCTGGGGCAGCTACCACATATAAGGCAACAAGAACCCCTTAAAGTGATCTTCAGGTCTGGGCAGCTGCAGGGCCCCTTATCTATTTGGATAGCAGCCATAAATCCTAGTCCACAATGATGAAGCCCCTGGCCCACACGTCCACATCAAGGTCTCCACCTCCTAGCCCCTTCTAGTCCCTCCTAGATCTCCTAGGTTATATAGGTTACCTTGGACAATAGCCGGTACTTCTCACTTTTCCCTTGTGAGAAGGGGTCTTATCAGCCCCTTTACCAGCAATAAACCTTTACTTTGTTCTCTGTACCTGGATGTCTGCATGATTCTTTGGCAAAGTCTAATAATCTGTCACTGTTCATTCCCTATCTGTGTGGAAGAGGAGGGTACTGGGGCTTGAACTCAGGATTTTTGGCTCCTTCTTAGCTTTTTCACTCAAAACTGGCACTCTATTACTTGAGCCAGATCTCCATTTCCAGCTTTTTGCTGTTTAGTTGAAGGGAAGAGTATCTCAAATTGTCTGCCTGAGGGCTGGATTCAAACTGTAATCCTCAGATTACCATTTTCTGAGCAGCTAGGATTAGAGGCATGAGCCATCAGCCCCTGGCTGTCTTTCTAAATTTAAAGATTCTCAAAGGAAATATTTGATGTCTTATACCTGCAGTACTTTCCACCTGCTCTTAAACATGACTCCACCTTTATTTGTGCTGTCTTACCTGGTCTGGAGAGTGCATGGTGAGCCTCCTCTTTGCTCTGCACTGAGAAGTTATGCTGCTGAGCAGGTACTGCTGTGCCCTGGTTCAATTAGCTGAATGCAGACCCGGGAAAACTGACTCTGCTGCTTAAAGCTACTTTACAAGTCCCCAAGCCCACTGCCATTCTTTCTCTCTCTCTAAGAGCTGGCAAGTAAAGGCCATCATACTTCCAGCGAGTGAGGGAGCAGTTACTGTCCACAGTATGTCTACAAGTCTACCCAATTTCTTCAACTACAAGTTCATCACTGCCTATGGTTTTACAAATAGCATCTTTGTTTTTATTCCCTGAAATGGAAACTCTTGAGGGGCCATCATCCTATTTGGCCTAGGATAGCTGCATTAGTTCCTCCTCCTCTTGAAGTGTCAATCTGCCATAAAAAATAATTGAGGGGCTGAGAGGTGGTACAGTGCTTGCCTCACATGCATGAGGCCCTATGTGAGATTCCTCAGTACCACATAAACAGAAAAAGCCAGAAGTGGTACTGTGGCTCAAGTGATAGAGTGCTACCCTTGAGCTGAAGAGCTGAGGGACAGCTACCAGGCCCAGAGTTCAAGCCCTGTGACCAACAACAACAACAAAAAAAATTGAGTATGTTTGCTCTTTTTCTGCTTTGAATAACACAAGAGGATGATTGTCAGTTCTTCTTTCAAAGTCCTTCCCAGGGAAAGAAAATTCTTATTTTAACTAGGAATAACAAGACACTATTCCATTATAGCTGTGGCAACTCTCAAAAGAACTGTACAGAAGAAAAATGGGGCTTCTACCTCAAAAAGTCATTAGAGAGGTGTTTTGTTGTTGTTATTTTTCTTATTAAGGCACCTGGAACACATCAAATTACTCCTCATGGAGTAGAACAGCAACTAGCAGTTACTCGTTACATTCTTGCAGCTATGAGCAATGGCTTTCTTTCTTGTTTTGTTTCCCTTGAATAGGTGATGAAGCAGGTTTTTTCCAAGGCTGCCTCCCACTACCAGCACTCTCAATCTTCAGCCCACACTGCTGTTAACGTGCTGTACACACATGCTCGGGCTCCTGAACAACCAGTGCCTTAACCTTTCTGTTTACTGCAAATCAGTTCCTAGCTTTTTAGAGAAGTTGATTTTATTCTTTATAATAACAACCTCATTTTTTATAACAACCTATACATACATCATATATATACATCACAAACACACACATATATTTATTCAGATACATACACATGTAACTGCTTTTCTAAAGCCTTCTTTTTATTTCAAGGGTTTCAGAGGTCATGGTTGTCATGTTCTAAGTGCTAATTTGTAGTAATCCCACAAGGTGGTCTTCTATAATCACTTTCCAAATATAGCTCTTACCTTGTGTGCTGGGGCAGGGATAAACTGCTACAACCTGAAGTTTATCTTTATTCTTTTAAAATCACTTAATTCCCTTGACCAAACATAGGTGAAAGATGGCATTTTTGTAACTGATAATTAAGATGGAAAATATGAGAGACTACACTGAAGGACACTTTGTCTTGCCATTCAAAGGTACCTCTCTTCTATAACTGGCCCCCTATCTTACACTGTAATTGCCATTTACTGCCTGTAGCCCTCAAAGACATGGGATGCTGAAGGCTGGAGACTGTGCCATCTGACTGTCTCCTCTGAAGGGGGTACACGGTCTGAAAGATGCTGTGCAGCAATAAGCATTGCTGTTAGTGTATTATATCAGATATAAAAGTCTGGTTTGTATTTGCTTCTGTTTTGTATTGAGGATCAAATCCAGGGCCTGGTTCATTCTAACCATGTGCTCTACCACCAAGTCACACCCATTTCTTCATCAGTTTTAGACTAACTGCTACATCCTCACCATTTATAAAACAAGTTTTAGTCAGGCATTATGCCAGTTCAAACAAATGTGCCCAGCCTCAGACAGTCAATGATCTCTACCCAACACTTGGTTAACTGACGGAGACAGTATCAACAATGCTAAATCTTCTTTTGTACTTCTTTACCTGGCAGTCACTTTAACCAACATAGATCTTGTGTTAGAGATTACAGTAAGCAGTTACACTAAATGATATCCAATAACTCGCTGGGGCCAGTTCTAAACTGAGTTTAGGCATGAATTAGGACGGGTTATTACTGGTATAGCAGTGCTGGTCAACACTAGAGGGCGCCACATTCATTCCATGGGTGGGGGGTTAGGAAATTTAAAGGGAAAAAAACAAACAAAAAAACCCCACCTTCCCCCCAACCCTTTTTCTGGCATTGGAAATAGAATCTAGGGCCTTGAACATGCTAAGCAAGCATTCACTGTAAAGCTACATCCCCAACACAAGAAAAAAAAATCTTAAAAAAAAAAAAGCTAGAATGAGAAAAACACCCTTAAGTGTGGGTCCAAACTATAGACAGAGAGAGCTACCCCACAACCAATGCTCTTCATACCTCACTTCAACAGACATGCTATTGGGCTTGTATTTTCATTCCATGTGAAAAGCTAGCTTTAATCTATTTTTAAATATTTCTTTCCCTTTCAAACTATTTTCTATCTTAACCAAATTAACAACAAAAGGCAAAGTAATAACTGATATTATCAGAAAATTCCCAAACAAAGTAGACAGAGGAGAAAAGTTAGTATCACACAGAAGCTGTGGCCTAGGATAAACAGTGAAGTCAACTATAACTGAATTCATCAGCAGCTGCCACTGACACCCAAAGTGAATTCACAGACAAGAAGATACTAACCAGATATGGTAGTTTAACCTGCAACCTCAGCTACTTGGGAGATGGAAGCAGGAGGATTCCAAACTCAAAGCTAGCTTGAACAGCTTATCAAGGTCCCAGGTGAAATAAATGAATGAGTAAAAGACAGGAAAGGAATGGGAGGGAGAAAGAGGGAGAACACTGAAAACGAGAGATTACACTAATTCAAGAGGAGAATCAAAACAGCTTGGCACAAACTTGGCAAGATGAGTGCTGAATGCTAAGTGACAGGCCTGAGGGCTCTGTAGAACTCAGCTGCTCAAGAGTGACATCACCAATTAGAGACCATGGCGGTCATGTGAAGCATGTGCAAGAGAATTACAAAAGTAGGAGATAAGGGAATGGAACATGGGTAGAGAAGGGAAAAGAACAAGCATTTCTGAAGCTAAAGCTTATTCTGATATTATATAAACATTCTTTTCTCCACCTCTAAAAAACACCCACGGCCTTGAAAACTTTTGTCTGAGCCATCACAAAAACAAGTGAAGAATCCAAACCCTGTCCTTTGGTATCATATGTTCCTCCTTGCCCAGGGGAACAATGGCCCATTAACCTGACAGAGAGGCATAAATCATGGCTCTTACAGAATATAGTGTGTAGGAGGGAGATAAATTCAAAACTAAAGAGTCCCTTGTATTTAAATTTCACAGATTAATGCAACATAGAAAAAGCAAGGCATCAAGTCAGAAGTGGACTAACCACTTTTCTAGGACAAGGACTGCTCCTGAGTTAAAAATAGAATGTAAAGCAACCTTGAAGAATGACTTTGTGGGTGAGAAGAAAAATCTGCTGGAACAAGACACAATTCATTTTCACTTTTTAAAAAAATGCAAAGTCAAACCTTCAGAGGGAAGAACAGAGTAAAACTCACCAGGCTAAAATCAAGTTATTCCTAGGGTCCAAGTGGCTGGCATATGTCATTGCTTCTTAAATCACCAATTTCAGGTACTCTAGAAATGTCAAGTCTAACAGAGTCAAGAGGATTCTTTTAAGAACATTAAAACATTTAATGGCCCTTTCAATCAATGATTCCCCTGAAAAGCATGAGAAAAATATATCCTACCATTAAAGGTAGAACTTGTTTTCCTCCCTTATTTGGGTCCCATGCCATAGGATTTCCTTCCAACTGCTCTGCTTCATACTGACCTTTAAAATGTTTCGACCATCAAATGATTCTCTTTCCTTGAAAATGTATTTGCCATCTGGTGTGTAGAGATTGTACCTGCCTTCAGCTGTAAATATTCCAAACACAATATTAGAGGAGGAGCCTATTATTTATCTATATTCTCCTAGGGTTCTATAGATAGACAGATTCTGCTAATCACATTTTCATGAACTACCCAGGAAGTGGCACAATGAAGAAAAGACAGCAAGCTGTGAAGCCAGAGCTCTGGCTTCTGGCCAGCAGCCACCAACTCACTCACTGTATACTTATTCCTTCAATATTCTCCAAGTACTCGTTGCAGGTTCTAACCATGTAACTAGCTGTGTGTGCGCGTGTGCGTGCGTGCATGCGCGCGCCTGTACGTGCACATGCCATCTTGGGTGCTGTCGCTGAGCTTTTTTTTTTTTCTTCTGAGGGTTAGCATTCTACCCCTTGAGCCTCAGCTCCACTTCTGGCTTTTGGTTAATTGTAGATAAGAGTCTCACAGACTTTCCTACCTGGCTGGGATCCTCACATCCTGAGTAGCAATGATTACAGATGTGAGCCACCAGAAGTGCTCAGTCCCCACCTACATTCTTAGGTGAATTACTTCTCTTCTGTGGATCTGTTTTCCCTTTACAAAATCAGACATTAAGACTAAGTGATCTCCAAGGATTCCATTGGGCAGGGGGTGTGCATTAAGTAGTAAAGTGTCTGCTTAGCAGGCTCAAGGCCAAAATTCAAGGGCCCAGTACCATCAACAATTAAAATTAGGGCTGGGAAGGTGGCTCAGTGGTAGAGTGCTTGCCTTGAATGCATGAGGCCCTGTGTTCGATTCCTCAGCTCCATATAAAAAGAAAAGGACAGAAGTGGCACTACGGCTCAAGTGATAGAGTGCTAGCCTTGAGCTGAAGAGCTGAGGGATAGTGCCCAGACCCAGAGTTCAAGCCCCACAACTGACCAAAAATGAATAAATAAAAATTAAAATTAAATGAATAAATGAAAATGAATAAATAAATTTAGATTTAAATTAAATAAAGCAAAGAAAAAAAGGTTGTTTGCCATCTATGAATCAAAGATAAGCTATACACAATTTTAAATATATACAAAAAATACCTAGAAGTTTCTATACTAATTAGTCAAAATTGCTGGCACCAGGCTTTGAGTACATTTAAGAACTATCCCCACCCCTAAAATTTTAAAGGCTCTTTTACTGCAATCAAAGGTATTCTTACAGACATTCAAAGGAATGCAGAGAATCAATGACCTTGACCTAATCAAAGCTGTGCTCTGGCTTTGTAAGTTATTTAGCTTGCACATCCCCTAAAGATGTTCTTAAAGGACAGTGAGAAGAATGTCAAAGGAAACAGAAACAAAAAGAAACATAACACATCATTTCATGTCCTTTTTAAGTAAAAACACAATTCACAAGGAGGGGGTAACAATGCTCAATAGGAAATGGACTCATTACTTTGCTCATGTAACTCTTAACCCCTCCGTACAGTATCTTTACAATAAAAAAAATTTAAAAAAAAAACAATTCAGAGAGAGCAGATAATTCAAAATATCCTCAAGAATCATTTAACTTTCATAGCATTTTCTGAAATACCAATTTTTTTTCTCACTACTGACTTACCTTCAAAAATATTCCTATTTTGGCAAGGCACCAGTGGCTCACGCCTGTAATCCTAGCTGAGTTACTCAGGAGGCTGAGATCTGAGGATCACGGTTCAAAGCCAGCCTAGGCAGTGAAGTCCATGAGACTCTTATCTCTAGAAAACTGGAAGTGGCGCTTTGGCTCAAGTGGTAGAGCACTAGCCTTGAGCTGAAGAGCTGAGGGACAACACCCAGGCCCAGAGTTCAAGCCCTATGACCAACAAAAAAAAATCCTATTTGAGTATGTTCTTTAATTATATATGTCTGTAGTACCAAGTTAACACTGACCTTTAGCTAGTTTTACATATGGGTAACCATGGAACTATTTCTCTAGTGAGAAATATTCTCTTAATCAAAGATCCCAATCACAGGCTAGGTGTGGCTGCTAACATCTAAAATTCCAACTACTTCTAAGATAGAAATAGGGAAGATTGCAGTTTGAGGGTAGACTGGGCAATAATCTAGAGGGATTCCTCCTCAACAAAGAAGCCAGGCATAGTGGCATATATTTATATACCCAGCTACATGGGATGTGCAGTTAGAAGTATTACAGTCCAGGCTAGCCATATATACTGATGGAAGCCAGTACCTTACACATACTAGGCAAGCGCTCTATCTTATGTGTGACAGAAATAAAAGACCTGAAAGCCACAGCCCATGCTAGCTAGTCTCAATCCACTTACTACTAAGTTTGTCAAAATAAGCTAATGGATCTAAAGGCTGCTGTATCAAAGATTCTTTGGCAGCCTTTTTTTTTTTTTTTTTTTGGTGTGCAGGTATTGAGGCTTATTATAATCAGAAACCCTACACTTTTGTTCAGCTTTTTCAGTCATGGCTAACATTCTACCACTTGAGCCACTGCCTCCAGTTCCAGCTTTCTGCTGGTTAGTTGCAGGAGTGGTGGGGGGGAGGGGGGTGAAAGTCTCTCAGATTTGTCTGTCTAGACTGGCTTTGAATGGCAATTTTCAGATCTCAGCCTCCTGCATGAGCCACCAGCCCTTGGCTAGGCATTCTATTTAAGCCTCTATTTAAGCCTCTGAGGCCTTGCTGCTTAAAACCACCCTGAAGCTCTATGAGAACTTACCATTGGGGTCTTTCCTGAATAGTGTATTCATGACTGTTGCATGCAGTTTCACACTGGTCCAGTCTTTCACTATTAGTCCCGATGCCTGGAAGCGTTCTAGCACTCGATCAACTAACTCTTGCAGCCTGCAGAGATTAAAGAATTCAATACAGAAATCTTAGTAAACTTCTCTACCCTGACTACTGATTCTACATGGAGTGCCTGCTCTGTGACAGTCACTGTAAAAAGCCTCATCAGCATGGGAAGAGGATGCAGCCCTACCATCACAGAGGTCAGACTGAAGGTCACTGTCTGGTCAAAAAGACAGGCTTAGCCCAGTACCACTGGCTCACCCCTTTAATCCTAGCTACTCAGGAGACTCAGATTAGAATTTCAGTTTGAAGCCAGCCAGAGCTAGCTACAAAATGAAAAAAAGAAAAGGCTAGAGCTGTGGCTCAAATGGTAGAGTGCTAGCCTTGAACAAAAAAGCTAGGACAGCACTCAGACCCTGAGTTCAAGCCCCAGGACCAGCATGTGCGCGCGTGCATGCACGGGCACATACACACACGCACACACACACAGGTGTGGAAACAAATCATCTCAGTACAGTACATTATGGGGAATGTTCAACTCTACATGTGAGGCCCAGTTTTCCACAGTAGGTCTAAATGTGACTTTCAAGGATCATCCAAAAAACAGGAAAGGCACTTCAAATGAAGAAGTAGCACGTGCAAAGATGCTATGGCATGCAAGACCATGGTGTAAGGTCTGTTCTTGGATAGCAAGCAGACTCTGCCCTCTTTGCAGCAAAGTCTCCACCCACTACCTGCGTTACCTAGGCAACTGGCACACCTGGAAGAGGTCACATCTGTATCCGCTGAGATCACATCTGGATTCGATGTGGCCACACCATTCCCCGACTCTTCCCTAGATAAGGCCTAGCCTAGTGCCAGAAGCTCTTTCTCAGCTGCGTGGAGTGCCAACCTGGCCTGGTGCCAGCCAGAACACTGAATAAATCTACCCCTTACCTGAATACCACATGCGTGGTATTATTCTTACTCGGCGGCCTCTTCTTTAAAAACCTAATACAGGGCATTTATGGAAAACTGCCAATGTTTTACTATTGCTCTAACAGTGAGAGAAGAGGGATAATGGAGATAAGCAGTGGTCAGACAGTGAGGAGCCACTGTGAAACTTTTAACAGGAATGTTGTAACCCAAAGTCCATTTCTGAACGCTGACCCTGTGGTAAGGATGGTCAGTGTTTCCTAAGTGGAATGTAGAAGACAAGAGAGCAGCAACATGGGGATCAGGTTGGTGACTGCTAAGAAATAAGAAACAAGAGAAATAACAAATAAAACACACCAGGACAAATCATTTGGTCCTCATAAGTTATTATTCCTAGTCCGCCAATGAGAAAACTAAGGCACAGAGAAGTTAGAAACTTAGCCAACGTCATATAACTACTAAAACATAGACTGGGACTATAGTCGGTGGTAGAGTGACTGTTCTGGGTTCAATCCTCAGCAACACACACAAATATATAATACACACAAAGAAAATTCCCTGGGTAGAGGCACAGCTCAAGTGGTAGAGCACTTGCCCAGAAAGCACCAGGCCATGGATTCAATCTCTAGTACTGATGAGGAATGGGAAGAAATTTCCTTAGGGGTTGGAGGTGAAGCTCAGTGGGCAAAGTATGTGCTTAGCATGTTCAAGGCCCTAGGCTCAATCCTAACACCAAAAATATTTTTCTTCTTGGCAGTATGAGGGTTTCAATTTGGGGCTTCACGCTTACTAGGCAAGAGCTCTATAATTTAAAACATCACCAACCAAAAAAAGTAAATAAAAATAAAAAACATAAAACATATCCTCACCCTTTTCGCTTCTGTTATTTTTCAGGTAAGGTCTTGCTTTTTTGCCTAGGCAGTCCTGGACTAACATCTCCCTGTTTATACTTCCCACATAGCTGGGAAGACAGATGTGTACCACCATGCTAAGCCTTTTATTGACTTCGACAAGTTCACTTAAACTTTTTCCCCAGGCTGTCTCCAAATCTCGATCCTTCTGACTTCAGCCTCCCAAGCAACTTACTAGCATGAGCTACCATACCTAGTTCAGACATTTTTTTAAATTTTAAAATAAAATTTAAAACAGTCTAGTTGCTATCTGGCTTCAGAGTCTATACTATTAAGGACAGCACTATAAATGAAGAAGTGATAAAGGTCTAAATTACAGCAAGGACAATACAGGTGAGACAAGAAAATGGATTCAAAAGAGCTTTGTGAGTGACTACAGGTGCCCATTCAGACATAGCGTTAGGAGGAGAAGTTGAGAATGGCTCCCAATTGTTGCTAAGAGTGACAAACTGGGCCATTACCAAGGTGGGAAGGTGTAGAGAATCAACTGCTCCTTGCTTTGTGCTATTTGGGGAAAAGAGTTAATGCTGATGATTCTGCCATCTATTGCATGGGATACCAAGTTGGTCATGTCCAGGAGGAGACAGAAATACAAGCCAAGAGCTCAAGAAAAAAATCTATACAAAGATAGAGGTATGGGGTCATAAGTACTAAAAGTGTGGTTAAAAACATGGGAGGGGCTAGGCACCAGTTGTTCACACCTTTAATCCTAGCTACTCAGGAGGCTGAGATCTGAGGATCATGGTTCAAAGCCAGCCCAGGCAGGAAAGTCCATAAGATTCTTATCTCCAATTAATGACCAAAAAACTGGAAGTGGCACTGTGGTTCAAGTGGTAGAGCACTAGCTTTGAGCCAAAGCACTCAGGAACAGAGTCCAGGCTCAGAGTTAAAGTCTTACAACCGGGGCTGGGAAGGTGGCTCAGTGGTAGAGCGCTTGCCTTGCATGCCTGAGGCCCTGGGTTCGATTCCTCAGCACCACATAAGCAGAAAAGAAAAGCCGGAAGTGGGGCTGTGGCTCAAGTGGTAGAGCGCTAGCCTTGAGCTGAAGAGCTGAGGGACAGAGCTCAGGCCCAGAGTTCAGGCCCCACGACCGGACCCCAAAAAAAAAAAAAAAAAAAAAAAAGTCTTACAACCAATTAAAAAACAAACAAACAAACAAAAAGCAGCAGCAGCTTAGGATGCTCAGACTCTGAATTCAAGCCCCAGGACTGGCAAAAATAAAAACAAAAACAAAACATGGGGGAACTGGGCACCAAGGGCGCAAGCCTGTAATCCTAGCTACTTGGGAGGCTGAGATCTGAAGATCATAATTCTAAGCCAACCCAGGAAGAAAAGTCTGAGAGACTTTCTCTCCAATCAATCAACAAAAAGCCAGATAGAGGTGTGGCTAAAGTGCTAAGTACCAACCATAAGCAAAAAAGTTGAATGCAAAGCATTCCATCCCTTTCACTCCCCCAACAACACAAACAAACAAACAACAACAACAAAAAAAAAAAACTGTGGGAGAGAAGCAGTCCTGGGAAAGAGGATTAAGAGTAAGACAAGAGTTCTAAGCAGAGCCTCTAAGATGTTTACCTAAGTAAGGCATTGAGGAGAAACCAACAGAGACAATGATGAGGATGAGAAAGCAGGAAAAGGAAAACTTCAGGGAGAATCACAACAGGGAATAACCAGTAACACTAGGAAAGAGTGAGAAAACACCTTATTTCCCATAATTGGAAACCTATGTATGTGAAAGCAGGGTTGTTGGTACACTGGAGACAAAAGTCTTGTGACAAAGGCCAAGGGAGGAACCAGGATGGGGGAGGGGAAGGTGATAGATGCATTTTACTCTTTTAAGAAACAAAGGAAAAGAGTGGGGAAAAAGCAACTAAGTAGATACTGAGCTAAGGGATGGTTGGTTTTGTTTCCATTGAAAATAGTAATTACAATAAACAATTATCCAATAGAGAGCTGTAACTTAAAACCCAAAGGAGACAGGAAGAGATGGTGTTCTCAGAGGTGACAAGGATACACAGGTAAACAAAACAAGAACCTGCCTTCACCAGCTTACACTCCAGGGAAAGGAGACAGCAAACACAGGTGCACGTATTTCCTCAGGATGGTTCTAAGTACTAGGCAGAAAAGGAAATGAGAAAAGGGGAGCGTAATTAGGCAGGGCCAGGAATGCACTACTTTGGATAGGGCGATCAGAGAAGGTCTCCTTAATAAACTGACATCAGAGCAGAGATCTGAGGGAAAAGCATTCTAAAGAGAGAATAGCACATGCAGACATTGGGGCAGCCATATGTAAGACATGATTGAGGAAGGACAACAAAAGCACTGCTAGAAGTGAAACAAGATTGAAGTAGGAAGGACCAAGTCACACAGAACTGGCATTTACTGTGAAATGAAGCAAGCAGTCCTTGGAAGATTTCATCATGTTGCCATGCAGAAGACAGTGGTAGAGGCAGGATGGTTTCAGGAGGGCAGGTGGCCACACGTACCCAGGAAACTAGGGGCAACAGTGGGATGTGGGGGATGACAGAATTATGAATACACTGGAGTCGAGAGGTCAAGGTGATTCTAAAAGAACATATGACAAGAGAACAGACACATTCAAGGATTCATGAGGAAGTCTGCAGAGCAGGATGAGCAGAAGTGATGAGATGGAAAGGCAGGCTAAAAATGAGACGTGAAGGCTGTTGGGGGTCAGGCAGGGTGACAAGTGGTCTTGGAGGTCACAGGAAACAATGAGGGTTTTAAAGGAGCAGAACACACAAGAAAAAATTAAGGTATGAGAACCAGTTGAGAGATGTTACCAAACAAAATAAAATAAATAAATGTCTAAGGCCTTGGGGTCAATCCCTAACATAGCAAAGGATAAAAAAGAAGGAAACAGAAGAGAGATGTTCTTTCCTTAGCTATCTTAACTTCTTTTCTGGTTATTATAATCAACATTTCCACTCACTACCTGACTTATGAAATGGTAACTCTCTGTATCACAGCTTAATATAACAATAAAATTATATTAAAATTAATAAACATGCCCGTTAGAGAAAATATGGTCAAGCCCCACAACTGACAAAAATTAAACCTAGATACTAAGGAGGTTAAGATCTGAGGATCACCTGGCAGGAAAATGCACAAGATTCTTTTGCTGGTGGTCGTGGTGGTGGTGGTCATGGGGCCTGAACTCTGGGCCTGGGCGCTGTCCCTCAGCTCTTCTGCTCAAGGCTAGCGCTCTAC